AATTACTACTTCATATTTTGTTATCAATACAAATGTAGTAACCTCCCCATAACTGTCATTGTTGCTTATTTACATTGGTGTCCCACGTAGGAGAATTAAAACTCTCAAAACCGTAGGCCATAATTTAACTTACTAGTGTGGTTGTGTGTGTGTGTGGGTACACGCTTAACAGTCACTCAGGTAAAATGACAGCACATGAATAAGGTAACAGTTACTTTTTGGTGGTATGATGGGTGTTTTATGATTGCCTTTAACGTTTCTCCCTTACTGGAAACTTCAGGAACCCCACGGTTTTAACAGGTTGCTTATATTTTGATTTGGCTTTGCAGAGGGTATACATTCTAAGGCTTTTAAAAAAATAGGATCGTTTATCTAAATGTCTAATGGTTTTGTGATTTGGAGTTATTTACTTCTGGGAATCATGGTTTTAGAGAAACAGTAAATTGATTTTTCAGAGTACAAAAAAAAATCTTCAGATAACCTTGTTACTCAAATACTGTATTAACTCACAGGTGAAGACCTTAATTCTGCCTCTGACAATTTGTGCCAAAACTCTTGGTTTTAGCTGCTTTGTGTACATTTTACATCCCTTACTCATAATAGTTCTAAGAGTGTAGTCCTGTGTTTATGTCCTTCAGCCCTTGTTCTCCCAAGGCTTTATTGCACACGTCTACTCTGTCTTGTATTTTACCTTTACTCTTTTATTTCTAATCCCTAGCGCTCTCTTTTTCTAATTACTCCCAGTAGAAGTATTAGTCATTAAATATGAAATGTCTGATTTTGAGTCAAAAGTTTAGTTTATTATACCTCAAACAATAAGCAATACAATTAATCAAAGTATGTGCCTAAACTGTCGACACAGTTTTGCCATCTTAATGGTAGCTTGCTTATGCCAGCAGCGAAGAAGCCTGGAGAGCGAGTGGTGATGAAATCATGAAAGGCATTTCCCACAGGTTGTTGAGAACTGAATATTTTTCCTCTGAAGAAGTAGTCCAAAGCCTGGAAGAAGTGGTAGTCGGTTGGTGCAAGGTCTGGTGAATACAGTGGATGACAGAGACTTTCTAAGTCCAGCTTCTGTAGTTTGAGCAGCATTGTTTTTTGCAACATGCGGTCTTGCAAGAGAATTGGCCTGTCTCTATTGACCAATCTCAGCTGCTTAATTGCAAACATTTTCATCATTTTGTCCGGTTGGTTGCAGTAGACATCCGCTGTAATCGATTGACCAGGTTTCATAAAGCTGTAGTGGATAATACCAGTGCTAGACCACCAAACAGACACCATTACCTTTTTTTGATGACTGTTTGGTTTTGGACTGTGTTTTGGCACTTCATCTTTATCCAACCATTGTGCTGAACGCTTGCGATTGTCAAAAAGAATCCCTTTTTGGGGGATTAGCCACATCACTTACGGAGTTACTATGGAGTTACTAGCCAGAATGTCATGAGTCTTTAAATTTGTTTATTGGCCTGGGGCTGTGTGTGAGTGTGTGTATATGTATGTGTGTATTGGGCAGGGGGTTATTAAAAATGTTCAGATTGAGTGTTATCAAAGGTAAGAAAACATGAAAGTGTACTTGTTCAGATATTGACAAGTATTAATTAGTAAAAAAAAAAAAAATTAAGAGCTGCAAAGTTAGAGTTAGAAGGTGTATTCATTTTAGGAAAACATAAGGCTAGCATAAATTTAATAAAGTTATAAAGTATGTACATTTAAATAAGTAACCATAATGCAAGTAGATCATAGTTAATTTTTTTTGGGAAACAATATAAAAAGGTAGTTCCAAAACTTTTGTACTTTTTGCTTTAACATAGATATTGTTAGTATTATTTCTTACGCATAACACATTTTTATAGAGTATGTGAATATTTTAGAGCCTAATGCTTTCTGTGTCAGTCATTCCCCATATCATGCAGGAGAAATAAGAATTCGGTGCAAATCTGAGTCTATGTTTCCCATGCCATCTCAGGGTATAACTCCACCAGGGATTGCTCCGACTGCCACTGCAATGAGCAGCATCAACAACACAATTGCAACATCTGCCAATTATCACACGAAGAATGACCCCAGGGGACTCAGTGTGTTCAAACAGGAGAAGCAGAAGGTTTGTTATAGGGAGTTAACAGACATAGGAATTTATCAGTGTTAATGATTAAGTTAATGTAGATACCTAGCAGATAAAGTGGTACTGTGAGTATGCTATATGAAGTAGGTAGAATCGAATTTTTCAACTATGCTTAAAATTATAGCAGAACCACAAAGCTCTTAAAAATCATGCACACAAGCTCTACTGTTCTAAAAAAAAATGTTCAGACCTTAATAAAATCTCAATAGTGAGCAGAATTAATGTAAGTGTCAACTGTGTAATGCAGTTGGTGTAAGTTTTCCTGTGACTGAGATTTGGGGAACATAATTCTTAGAGAAAAGTGAGTATATGAAGCTTATTTGAATAGGATAGCAGGTATAGCAGTAAAGGTTGGAGCTGGCAAACATTGCAATTCAGGCAAGTATTTGTGTTTATACAAAAAAAGAGAAATGAAATTACTACTTCATATTTTGTTATCAAT